CGTCTGCTGGTGTGCAAGAGCCCTCGGCAGAAGGGAAGGTGTATTCGGCTGGGCCTGAACGGCGCTTTGCTCACACCTTCAGCCTCGTCTGCTCGTCTGCCCCGTGCACTCGTTTGCCCATTCTGTACCGGCCGGCCGACACTACTTTATAAAACGTGCTGTCCAGTCCGCCATCTTGCAGTACCATCCAGTACCGTCTTGTTGCATACACACTCGGCTCGACTCAGACCGGAACGGGTACGGGGCACCCGCTGCCTCGGCTGCTGCTTCGACCGAAGCCGGCCGGCGAGTCGGTCGGTGAGACTCGAAGACGACGTCCGAAGAGGTGTGGTGAGTGGAGCAGCTTTTTCACTTGTCTCTCACGCATAAACTAAGACACATTTGAACAGAATAACACAATTCCACTTACAAGTTACATTGAAGGCAGATGGCCGTTGTATCGAAGTGATTTTGCAGAGTTTTTTCACTTTGATCATGTTGTCAGGGTGACCACATTGAAAAAGATCTTGTGCAATGGACAGATTAGGTATGACAAGTTTCAGCCTCGGACCCTGAAATCGGTACATTTACAAACAATTCTTTGACGAATTGAGCCCAAGATACAGCATATGTTTTCGAATCCCTCTGAGAGACTGATTGGTTTCAGGCTAGGTAGAAACCGCAGTTCAGGTCGGTTGGAGCGGCCTTTGAGTTGTCACTTACACATTTTTTGTACTCCTTTAGTTGCAGAAAATTTTTCTTTATTTAAACAACTTACACTCTTGTGTTCTTATGCAGCTTTAACGGTGCTCAAGAGAGTAGCATCATAAGTTCTGATAATTGCAATAAAGACTTAAAAGTTGCATCAAAGATATATGGCCGTTGTATCAAGTGATTAGGCAGAGTTTTTCACTTTGGTCGTGTTGTCATGGTGACCAAATTGAAAAAAAATCTTGTGCAATGTCCAGATTAGGTATGATAAGTTCCAGCCTCGGACACTGAACTCGGTAAATTTACAGATAATTTGCCGACCTCATAGTTGATATCGTGGATCGTTGACGAATTGAGCCCAAGATACATCAAATGTTTTAGAATGATTTTGGGGGACTGAATGGTTTCAAGTGAGGTTGAAACCGCAGTTCGGGTCGGTTGAAGCGGCCTTTTAGTTGTCACTTACACATTTCTTGTACCTCTTTTCATTGCAGAAAATTTATCTTTCTTTAGACAACCTACACTCTTGTGTTCTTATGCAGCTTTAACGGTGCTCAAGAGAGTAGCATCATAAGTTCTGATAATTATACTAAAAAATTACAAGTTGAATCGAAGTGATATAACAGAGTTTTTCACTTTGGTCGTGTTGTCATGGTGACCACATTGAAAAAAAATGTGTGCAATGTCCAGATTAGGTATGACTAGTTCCAGCCTCGGACACTGAATTCGGTATATTTACAGACAATTTGCCGGCCTCCAAGTTGATATCGTGGTTCTTTGACAAATTGAGCTCAAGATACATCATATGTTTTCGAATCCCTCTGCGGGACAAATTGGTTCCAGGTGAGGTTGAAACCGCAGATCAGGTCGGTTGTCACTTACACATTTCTTGTACCTCTTTTCATTGCAGAAACTTTATCTTTCTTTAAACAACCTACACTTTCGTGTTCTTATGCAGCTTTAACGGTGCTCAAGAGAGTAGCATCATAAGTTCTGATAATTACAATAAAATCTTACAAGTTGCATCGAAGATATATGGCCGTTTTATCGAAGTGATCAGGCAGAGTTTTTCACTTTGGTCGTGTTGTCATGGTGACCACATTGAAAAAAAATCTTGTGCAATGGCCATATTAGGTATGACAAGTTCCAGCCTTGGACACTGAACTCGGTACATTTACAGACAATTTGCCGACCACATAGTTGATATCGTGGATCGTTGACGAATTGAGCCCAAGATACCTCAAATGTTTTAGAATGACTTTGGGGGACTGCGTGGTTTCAGGCGAGGTTGAAACCGCAGTTCAGGTCGGTTGAAGCGGTTTTTTAGTTGTCACTTACACATTTCTTGTACCTCTTTTCATTGCAGAAAATTTATCTTCGTTTAAACAACCTACACTCTCGTGTTCTTATGCAGCTTTAACGATACTCAAGAGAGTAGCATCATAATTTCTGATAATTACAATAAAGACATACAAGTTGCATCGAAGATATATGGCCATTGTATCGAAGTGATTAGGCAGAGTTTTTCACTTTGGTCGTGTTTTCATGGTAACCAATAGAAAAAAAATCTTGTGCAATGGCCAGATTAGGTATGACAAGTTCCAGCCTGGGGCACTGAACTCGGTACATTAACAGAAAATTTGCCGACCTCATAATTGATATCGAGGATCGTTGACTAATTGAGCCTATGATACATCATATGTTTTCGAATCCCTAGGAGAGACTGATTGGTTCCAGGCGAGGTTCAAACCGCAATTCAGGTCGGTTGAAGCGGCCTTTTAGTTGTAACTTAGACATTTCTTGTACTCCTTTAGTTGCAGAAAATCTTTCTTTATTTAAATAACCGTGTTCTTATGCAGCTTTAACGGTGCTCAAGAGAGTAGCATCATAAGTTCTGATAATTACGATAAAGAATTAAAAGTTGCATCGAAGTGATTAGGCAGAATTTTTTCACTTTGATCAATGTGGTTAACCTGACCACGTTGAAAAAAAATCTTGTGCAATGTCCAGATTAGGTATGACAAGTTTCAGCCTCGGACCCTGAAATCGGTACATTTACAGACAATTTGCAAACCTCATAGTTGATATCGTGGATCTTTGACGAATTGTTACATGCTTTTAGGAATGGCAGTAATATGAAAAAAAAGCTGGGTTTCGAAGATTCTCTTGATATATTCATTCTGGCACATAATATGTAGGTAGAGAGGACTCGTGAATTGGCCGCACCGGATACCGAAAGAGGATTGCCTTGGATTAGTGACTGTTTATTTGGGGTTTTCTGTGATGGTATCCGGGACGGCGAATTTACGAATTCTTTCCTTTCACTATTCAACATCACGTCAAAGGTTTAATTGACGAAGTTGTTTGGATCCGAAAGTGTATAAAGTTCACGATTTGGCGCTGGAACTTGTCATGTCTGATCTAGCAGAAGACGCGAGAGCAAATAGTGCTCAGGTGCATGAAAGAGTTGGCCTTCGAGGACCTATTATTTTACAATTGTTAAACTCACTTCCATTTGGTTACTTGTCGAGTGGCTCTACTGAAGCACTATTGAAGAGATTGCCTCCCCTAGGAGGAAATTTCGTTAACACATCACCAGAACAGGGTATCATTCTGATAAACATACTCAGAGTAGGGTTTCGAGGCTATTAGTAAATCAGTTATATAATATGTATTAAATGGAACCGTAGAGTCCACTCAGATCGTTGTGGAAAAATGCAACCATCAGTCTTTCATCCATTTAACTAAACCAAGGTGAAAATTTTTCATCCGTTTTTTGTGTGTAATAATGCGTATTTTAATGCATGTGTGTGCGAAACCAGCAGTTAAAGCGAAATGTATTGGGAAACAACATATCATTACTTCGGTCAACAAGTTTTAACGTCTTCTTCCCACATTTTTTTAGCCTAACCAACTTGCCGATCGCGTAATACCGGAAAAACGCATCTAATTGAGTTTATGAGCTTATCGTCTTTGTGTTTGTGCACGTGTTTGTTTGTGCATGTGTGCCTGTGTGAAATAAAAAGCAAGCAAAACATTGAACTAAAGGGTATGGAAAGCATGATCATAATTAGAGGCATTACCAACAAAAGACTAATTCAGTCTATCAATTAAGCATAATTAGTTTCTACTTAAAATCTGTACATTGAGCCAACAGCCTCTAGAGGTACTTAATAGAATGGAAAACAGGTCCCTCTAACAGTAAAGTTACTACATGCATAAATTCTTGCATATCATGCAAATTTCATTCTAAATGAGAGCTCATGGTTCAGTAAAAAAACACTTTTTTGTCCTACACTTCCTCATTAGTTGGCTGATCTTTTTAGAAGAAGCACACAAAGAGAACAGGTCTCTGATTTTTCATCTCTTCTCACATTTTCCCCATTTAAAATAGCATTATTTATTAATCTGATATTATTTTCATTCAAGCCTTGAAAATAGCTATTCTCAGTTCATATTAATTTTATGGGTTTTGTTTAAGGTGATGAAAAACTGGTAGTCGAATTTCCCCACACTAACATAAGTGGAGCTGACGCTTTCCTTGAATTTCATATAGCCTCACTTTGCCAAAAAGATATTTTCATTCATCCAGAAGTGAAATGCAGTTTTGAT